GCCTGGTCTATGATATTTATACTAATTTTGGTAGCAGCCTGGTCTATAATATTCATACTGATTTTAATAGCAGCTTGGTCTATGATAGTTATATCAATTTCAGTAGCAGCATGATCTATGGTATTTATATCAATTTTGATGGCAGTTTGATTCATAATATTAATACCAATGTTGATGATAGCTTGGTTTATATTTAATTTATATTGATAATTATTTATATAAGTATGAAATGATGCATAAAACTAATTATCTGCTATAACTTCTTGATTGTAATTAAACAAGTTAAAAATTTTTAAAGAATTAAATTAAAAAATTAAATAATTAACTACTTATCACATGCAATATATACAAAGCAAATATGGTTGTTAGATATTAAAAATGTAAAAAAGTTTAAATATCTAATATTATATTTGGCAGCTACTGCATCTTGATGTTTACATGAAGCTTCAGACAGTCTATTAATATATGTAAATATACAAAATTCCATATTAACAGTATAAAATAAATCTATTTTTTTTAGACTTGAGACCAAATATTCTGCACTTATTTCAGTTTGTTGAATTTTTGCAGTATTAATCACCTTCTAACTAGAATACAAAAACCTTCTAGCAATTTGAATATGATCAGAATGGCAATGTGCTATTTCAAATAATCGATATTTATAATATTGTTTCATACTTGTAATAATAAACTGAAATACTTAAATGCTATTATATACTTGAGTATATGCAAAAATAATATCTTTTAACAATTTAAAACTATATTCTATGTAGTTATTAATATTGTTACCCCAAAGTAAAAGTCCAAAGCAAAACAATACTGCTTAGAATTGCCATCTATTCCAAAGTGACTCGAAGTGTCTCTGTAATTGTAAGTATATATAGTAATAATTAGTCTTTAATTCATTATAGTTTTTTATCATTATAGCTTCCTTTAGTGCATATAATATATTTTTCATAATGTTCATTATAGATATTTTATAAGCTTTAGGGTAGTATCATTTATCACCTTATTTTTTTTTATCAGAAGCTTACCTCTCCTCCCCCTCTCTTAATATATATTTTAATCAAGTTCTTATATATAATTTTAAAATTTTACCCCCTCTCCCCCTAAAAAATCTCCTAATTTTTGTCACGTCCCTTATTTATGTTATGTTTTGAGTTATGTAACCAGCACCAAAATGCTTAAAAAACATAAAATACATATTGTAGTCACCTTGATTGTAGCTAGCAATGCTCTAATGCATTGCATTTATATTTTGAATCATCAGTAAAAAAAGATATTAAACCAATATTAGGCCTATATTCAAAAAATACATGCTGTGAAAGAAGTAATTTTATCATATTCATACCTTTTTTAAAAGTCATTTCCAGCTTATCTGATATTACAAGAACACTAAAAGGCAATGCTTCAGCAATATAGCTGATATAAAACAAAGTAATTAATGTATTTAAAGATTTAAATAATATCAAAGCATCTACATAACAACTTTATCTGATTGATAAATTTTTTCATAAATACGAGCCATCAAATTTATAACTATACAAAGAATAAAAGCCTTCTTTGAATTTAAATTGTATTCTTAAAAAAATAATATGCCCTTTTTCAAAATTGTTGTAAAAGTCAACTTCTTCTTTAAGCTTTTAAAACATATATATGCTATTTTTTCTTCAATACAACTACTGCAAAATTGTTTGAACAAATTTGAAACATTTTCATGATTAGGATTTAGTGCAAAGTCAGCTAGTAATTTTATAAGCTCTTGATTATTACTTGTATACAAATGAAAACTGTCCTTATATATATATAGAGTGCTAGCTGATGAATGTCAATTTTCAAAAAGCTCAATATATTTATTACAAACTTTATCTTTTACATGTCTAAAACTAAGAGCTTTTGCTAAATGAACAACATAGTTATATTTATATTTAATGTTTATTTCAAGTGGATGTTCAGTTTGAAAACACCACCTTTCAAATCGAAAATAAATAGTTGCTTTATATTCGGTATTTTTAATATATAATGAATTCAGTTTTTTTTTGTACTGAATTCCCTTGCTTTTGTTTCACTGCATTACTATAAATACAATATATAATTTATCTGAAAATAACTTTCTTTTCTTGAATTTGATATCCTTTAGTCTAACACATCATTGTTTTTGATGTTTCTTTAAATGTATTAATCTATTTTTATGCACTTTTACTACTATTAGCATTTACTAAAAGATTCACTTCAAATTGATTTACTAAAAATCTTTCAGCTATAATATAGTCAGAAAATTTGTAAAATTCATTTACAAAATAATTATAATCTGATGAAAGTATAGCTATAATATATCTAGGCAATATAATTTCTATTTCATTTGAATTAAGTAATGATTCTGAATTTTCATGATTTAATATTTTATTATTAGACAATAATTCTGTTATATTTAGATTCATAATAAGTACAAAAAATATGAATACAAAAAAAATAACAAGTTTTTTTTGAGAAGAAAAGAATACAAAAGAGTGAAAAGGGAGTAAAAAGAAAAAAGTTCTGAATTTCTTTTTATTCTATGATTTTATTATACAATTTCGTTATATGGGTTTATCAAAAAAATAAAAATAAAAATAAATTGAAGTATCTGAATTAAAATTAATTTGTTTTATTGTAATTTGATATTAAAAAGCTTAAGTGTATATCATATCAATTACTTTAATAATTACTTTAAATTAAGGTGTAGTGACTTAGAGTAGTGGTTAAATTGTAACTCCTCAAGTGGCAAGTCTAGAGTTTAAATCTCATTGAAGATGTTTTTAGAAAAATAGGCCTGTGTATTGGTAACAATTATTTGATGATCAGTTGGATATATTATCTGTAATCTTGATACTACCATCTCGAAATAGAAGCTCTTAGGTGATCTAAATCCAAGAAACCAGAATAATTGAAATCTGTTTAGCAAGACCCGAGTAAGGAGGTAGTGATGATTTTTGATGATATTGTGGAAAAGTAGAAAACCAGAGACCAAAGAACTGGACAAAAACTCTAAGTCAAAAAGGGTCTACCAATTTGACTACCAAAGTCACACTGAAGAAAAAGATCCTATGCTATAGAATTAGGAACCAAGAAAAATAAAACCGGAAAGCACTTAAAGCCTAGGTACAATGACTCGTCTGAGCTAACTGGTTTGGTAGTTGAGGAGAGATCAGTATAAGGACCAGCTTGATATAGATATTAAGATCAGAATGAACCTTGCAAAGGTACTGAATACTGAAATTGTGTGATTTAATGGTTTGCTCTGACTGCTAATGGTAGTTTTAGCTGTGGAAGGTATTTGTAGTCTAATCTAGAAGTGCATAGAACATAGAAAGATTAGGGTATATATACTACACCCTCCCTAGGACAACTCAGTAATATAAGAACTCTACTGGGTTATCTATAGAATTAGAACACAAGTAGTATAGCAGATGTCAATCTGGATGACCTTCAATAAGAAGCAGCACAAGGCTATGGATTGGTGTGATTGTAGTGATGATGCAGAACAGAGGACATCAGAAAGTTTAAATAAGTAATCTTCTAGTTAAGTTACAAGTATAGTATATAGTATAGAACCTTCAGGCAGACTATTTAAATTAGGCAACCAAAAGTTATATGTGTGGCTATATATACTCTTGTTAATCAAGAATGTACTACTAAATATACCTAATAAAAATCTACCTTTTCATGACATTGCAAAGGTAAATAAAAAAAAAAATAAATAAAAATTACTTTAAATTGGTTTAGGCTACAGATAAACTAGTCTGGGTTTCTTTTCTTATTATTTTAGAATATGGAGTTTAAATGTATTTTTTTCATTGTAAGAGAATCAAATTAAATTTCAATAAAGATAGAGATATGGTCTTACCATTAACATTCAAAAAAATAATTACTTTAAAGCTTAAATGTATATTACCAATCGATATTGTTACAGGGTTGTAGTCTTCTTAGTAAAATACAACCAAGTAACAAGGTCACCCAGTGCAGTGATTGACTTTTGCAAATATACACGGGGTGGAT